TGAATAAATAAATAAATTCAAATAGATGAATAAAACGTTTAAATGGTGGGTAGCAGACATAAGAGTTTTGAGGAATACCTGGAATATGAACAGATATGTTGATGCTTTCGCCCCACTTCTGTATATACGGGTTAAAAATAGACTAATCATCTTACTTTTATAAATTAATATTTAATGTGTTGCAGAACCTGATAAATGAGAGTAAGAGCTGATCAGGATTCAGAGCGAACAGCAGTTCACTGAGCCACGCTGTCACCCTACCTCCACAGGGACACGATACCCGGCCTTATCTGAGTTGTGTAGCTCCAGTCTGGTTTGACTGGAGCGCTGGGTTGCCTGGTTATGGTGGTGTCAGCTGATAAGGCAGTGAAAGGCCTTTTCAGAGCGCTGGGCTCTGTTACTCTTACTTCTTACAAATGAACATTCATAGACTCTGAGAACAAATCCAACGGCTGTAACTCGATGCTGGCAGAGGAAAAGCCTCCTCCCAATGTGTCCACTCGGTCTTTATGTCTCCTTTTCTTTCTGTTTCTTTTCTCTTCCCTTTAAGTAAACATATGTAGCTAGAGGATTTGAGTTTTGCCCTATTATTGCTTTAGAAAGTTGTCTTTATGTTCTAAGGTGTGACGGCACAGTTTGACTTGGCACGTCCTCGGATCAGTCATGCACGATGCAACAGGGGACGTTTCATAGCTGTGGCTGAGTGAGTTTACTCAGGCTCACCCGTGTGATGCTAAGCTACCTGACGTGTGTAATCAAGCGGGTGTTTCTTTACAGAATCTCCGTGTGCGGATGGTGAGAGGTTCGGGGCTGGCCCTGTCGTTTGGAAAGCTGCCCGGGTCCCTGTGCTCTAAGTACATGCTGGTGGACGGAGAGAAAGTCATGTTTGGGTCTTACAGGTGAGCTTGAATATCCAGCAGCGTTCTGCTGCCGTTCACAGCTGAGACTGTGCAGTCGGGATTTAACACCAGAACTGAACATATTACACCGTTTATCCAGATCTTGTGAAGGATGTATTGTGTTTCTTTACTTCTGGTAAATCTTTTGTGAGGAGTCGGTAAAAGTTTAGTAGTCAAAAGGGACGAGAAACACATCTTTCTATTTAATACATTGTAAATATATATATGAAAGCTTATAAAGAACTTTTACAGAGCCAATGAGATGGTTAAACTAAGTAGAATATAGTAGAATATATACAGTATTTCAGAACAATAAAACAAATCACAGGATCTTAGTTGGCCCAGCTGTTATTGAACTGTAGGTGTTTAAATCAAAAAAAAAAAAAAAAATCTTTTTTATAAGATTTTATTTAGATATCTCAAATACATACAATCTACATCATATACACTTCCTGCATCAGCAATCAGAGACCCACAATCCTCACGACAAAACATTCCCGCATAAACTAACAAGCTCAAACTCGGTATCTTTAAATCTGGTCAAATAAATATGAAAAATATAAATAAGCGTAGAAACATGAGCACTTTAAACAGATTTGTTCTTAAGTTGCACGTACGGACGATTCTAGAAAACTTTTCTGAATAAACCAGATCTGTCGAACGGGTGATGTCAGCATGGTTCATCCGGTTCATCAACGTTTTGTTCTTTCTCTTTAGATTGTCGAATAGATAAGTAGTAGTTTGGAAATTTCTCAGTCGCTGTCCAAGTTCACAGAGCTTATTTTCTGCAATAATCCAAATGAAATGGAAGAATCCCTGCAGCACTCTATTGTTCAAAACATTGTGCATTGCTCCATTTTATTACATTTATTTCCACTTTGCACGTTCAATTTATTACTTGTTCCTTTGTTTATGTGATTCTAAAACCGATGATGACTGTTTTCCACTCAGATCCAAATGTTTGGAGGCTTTAATATAAAAACAACTGTCTCTAAAAGCTGCAACACAACAGAAAAACCCCTCCGAGCAGCACACGAATGACTCCTTAAAGACTTTCTGAAGCATATTAACTTGTGGAATCACTGGAATGCTTTTAGCAGCACGCTTCTTATCTACAGGTGGTCTTGCGGGTTAATCTATTGTTGTGGATCAACTCGTTGTCTGTTGTGATTACTGACCGAGGCCGACGTGTAAAACCTGTGTGAGGTTATTATGAAACAGAATACATTTTCGTGGTTGCCTAATATTTACTGTAATACAGCCTTAAAATCAGCATTTAATGCTCAGAATGCCCTAAACAGAATAGTTTGTTGGAGGTGTTGTGCTACACATTGTTTATAGCTGGTCCGGACAGCTACATTCGGAGGTGAGGTGAATAGAGCCGCCATAGAGAACAGTGAGATATGGCGATAATGAGGAAAACTTTTGGACACTCTTTTCTCTGAAAGGCATTCATGTACTTTGTTGAGAACATGAAGTGACAGAAACACTGGCCGAGTACTACGAGAAATGATTGTTTGACTGTCAGATACGGAGAGTTACATCTCATATTGCGATATTGGTATTGTTCGTGTTCTGGACTTTGACAGTTTCATACAGAAGCTTTGATGATGTCGATAGAGATTACTTGATCATAATGATCAATAAAGATCAAACCCTGATTGTGAGTGTTGTGATTGTAGAGCAACACAAGTTTAGTCTATTTTCAGATCATCTTTTAAGCTGACACAAAATCACATAAAATTGAAATAGAGAGCTAATAACAGAATAGTTTGTAGAATATATAAAGAATATATAAAGAACCTTTATGATGCTGAGCTGCTATTCAATAACACAATCTCTGAAAAGCTCTTCCTCACTTGACTCTGACGAACACCTAACCCAGACTCCATGCAAAAGTCAGCTGATTAAAATGTTATAGTCCAACATGAAGAGTTAAGCTCTTGTGTACAGAAGCCTGTGTTTGAGTACAGATGACACATCTTTCCACTCGTCATGAGTCTTATCTGAGCCAGCTCTAGTCAACACATCAGTGATGAAGCAGTTTTTTAGTGAACTTTATGAAGACATTAATTCATTCAAATCAAAACTGGAACAACTGATTTGTGAGTGAAATGAGCATGTCATGATAATTAATTCATTCACGTGATACCTCATTATGACTCGATGTTTACGTTAAGAAATTTGGTTCTCTGTGACTTTTAGGCCAAAATGTGAAAGCTTTTACAAACGGGAACAAACTCATGAGTTTGTTCCCGTTTGGGGTTTATTTTGCTCACTGGATTAAATATAGCAGTTTAAAATGGTTTGTAAAATAATTCTGGTGCATTTACCAGTTCTGCATTCGAAAGATAAAACCATTAAAAACACATTTATCCTTCATTTGACTCGCTTATTCACTTTCTTTCTGAGAGTTGGATGAGAATATTGATACCTTAGCTTAGAAACAGCTTGCCTGGCTCTGTGTAAAGGTAACCACACCCACCTGCCTGCACCTCCAAAGCTCACTAATGATTACACATCTTGTTTGTTTAATCTGAGAACCGAAGAATAAATATAACAATTCAAGTTTTTAATAAAGGTTGAGTTTCTGCTTGTTGCCTGGTCAAGAAACAGTCCGGCACAAATTGACATTTTTGTCATTTTTACACTTTGCTTCTTGTCCAGGTGAAACTAACGAGATATAACATGATGATTAGTGAGCTTTGGAGGTGCTGGTAGGTGGAGTTGTTACCTTTGGACAAAGCCAGGCTAACGGTTTCCCCCTGTTTCCAGTCTTTATGCTAAGCTAAGCTAACTGGCTGGGAGTTGCCTCATATTTGAGATGTGTCAATCTTCTCATCTAATTTAGAAAGAAAGTGAATAAGCATAGTTCCCAAAAATGTCGAACTCTTTCTCTAACTTTTACACCATCTCTTCTCCAGCTTCACCTGGAGCTCCTCTCGGATGGACAGGAACACGATCACCGTGATGTCGGGACAGATCGTGGACTCCTTCGACAATGACTTCAGGGAGTTGTACGCTGTGTCCGATGAGGTGGACCTCTACAGCGAGTTCAACATCACCAAGCCGCCAATCGCTACGCCCATCAGGAAGACGAAGGTGGAGAAAATCCAGCCTCTGCCCGTCACCACGTCTCGCTTTCAGGTATCTGTCGGGGACTCCAGACAGGTGGACCTGAAGGTACCTGCACATAAATACCACAATCCTAAGTACTCTTTAGTTTTCGGGAACAGTATGGGCCTCACAGGTTCCCTGCAAGACCTGTCGACCCCGAGCGACTCGCTGGTCGGCGGGCTGAACGCGAGGAACGGACTGCAGAACAACATCCTTCATGCCAGCAGGGACAAGGTGGACCAGGTCCCCCCACAGAGTCCTGGTCCGCCTGCAGAGGATGAGGATGTTGATGGAAAGGGGGGCTCTAAGAAGAACCCGCTCTTCGGAGCGAAGAAACAACGCAGTTCTTTTAGGCACTTCTTGAAATCTAGAGGAGCCACAGAGACTTTAGTAGAAGGCGTGGTCACTCCTCAGAGCCCCTCCCCCACCTGTAAGGTCTCGGAGACCAATGGCGTTGCAGGAAATGAGGCGGAGGACTCGTTTGAGATCATTGAGGTACCAAGTCTAGCGAAATCCAAAACCAAGAAGCCCTCAAAGCTCCTCCAAAGAAGTGTGTCTCTGCAGACCATCAACACCGGAGCCGAAGACGGTACGTCCTCACATAGTCTATTGTTTTACTGTTAGTTTTATGGTCCGAATAACAGCTAATAATCACTTTTATTAGCAATTGATCTTCAGATTATTTCCTTGATTCATTATTTGGTCTATAAAATGTCAGGGAAAAATGGATGTTACAAAGTCTTCAAAATCCCAAAATATGTAGTGTAAAGTGTTATAAAACAGAGAAATATTTACATTTGAGCAGCTAAAACGTGTCAAAAAATATTTTCCCATAATGAAAATATTAAGCACTTAATTCAAATAATAAGTCAAATAATAAGTCACTCAAATAATCTACTTGAGTTAATTACACTTTCTGATACCGAGTACCAATCCGATACCAGTGCCTCACTGTGTGGAAGAGACGTTATTTTATGTGGAAGGCAACATTAGGCTTGACTAAAACATTGTTTGTTTTAACTTTAATTAAAAGGAATAAGGAATTTTTAGGAATAAAATCATGGATATAAATGGACTGAATTGTTATTTTTAAAATAATAGTATCCGATAACAGATCGGCTCCATCGTCTAAGATGCCAACACCAAAAACAAGTGACTGATGACTCTTTTGATATCTTTTAAAAGCCATTTCCTTATTGATCCGTCCTTTGTTTTTGTTCCTAACAGGATCTAAAGGCCGCCAGCGGCATCAAAAGAAGAATTGCATCCAGTCATGAGATCAGAAACTAGAGGACAGTCTGTCGTAAAGATCTCACGAGTCCCACAATCCATCACTGAAACCAGGTGACTTCACTGTCCTGCTACACTTCAGGTGGAAGTCCTGATGGGAGTGACCACCGAGGAGATGTGGTAGTTTAACTAGTCATGTGCGGACAAAAACTCCGGAGAATCGCAACGCTGAAGCCAAAGTGCTGATGGAGGGAAATTCCATCTAAGTTGTTTTTTTTATGTTTTATTGTTTTTTTTGTATTAAATTAATACAGTTCAGTGTTTTTATATTTCGTGCTGGACCCTGAACACCACACAGGCTGCGTCACCCAGGTAGCGTGGGTGAACTACGTCACACCTGGTTGCTATAGAGACAGGAGAAGTGACGAGTCGTGCTGTTTGTCCCCGAGTGTCGCCTTACAGACGACCCTCGGTAACAGAATAAGTGTTGTACAGGCTGTGAATAATGTAGGCTGGGCTGTGTGGATGACACAGTCCTGCCGTGTGAGGACTTTGTGTGTTTACACTTTGGCTTTATTCAGGAGAAAACAGACCGAGGTTAAAATGTGAATCCTTCAGAGCCACTTGAGATGCAAAGAATCCTACTTTTGAAGCAGAAATTGCATAAAAGACATGAAAATAAACTGTAAAAACTGGTTTGTGTGATTGAATGTCAAGCAAAAGTCTGAGATAACGAATGTGTGGAATTTGAGGCAAGCCAAAATATCTTCTCAAAAAATGTCAGTGATTTTGTACAATGTGAAACAGAATTTAGTCAAAAACCAAAGTTACATTCTGGTACATTATTATCAGCTCTGTACTTTATATGCATGAAAGTACTTTATGACTGAAGACGAAGTCCCGTTCGTGGTTTATTGTTAATTTCAGGATGAATAATTATTCAACATTGTTTTATTACTCGACCTAATTTAACAACAACTCCTTGAGAATGATTTACAGAACATGATGTATTAAGTCTTTTTAAAGTCATTCAAATGTGTATTCTCATCTGCTCTATATGTGTGATCGGGGTTGACGGGTGTTGATGAGGAACTACCATCTATAGATATATATATAGATATCTATATATGTATATCTAGATGAATAGATAATGCCTCATTTGCATATTTAAACATAACATTTCAGAAAACTTGTAATACAAATAACGTATTCTTAAAGTGAGTAATCAACTGGTGAAGTTTCATGGTGATATCTATCAGTTCATGTTCTGACCCTATTCACCTGTAGTCTTCTAAATGTCTGTAATGTAACTAAACATCTCTTTAAAGGATGTTTTCTCTCAGACTCTGATCCAGAAATCTCCACTTCAGCAGCTCTTGCATACACCAAACTTTACGCTTTCATTCCTCTGTGTGCTGAAGGTTAACACAGAGGGGTTTGTTCACACATCATTCAGAGACCCATTTATACAACTTTATATTCCTAAAAACATGGTGTAATAGATTTTTGACAGTATTTTCAGATTAATGGAGTGATGCAGAGATATCCAACTTTCCCTCTGTAAAAATGTATGCAAATTAGCACATAGTTCATAAGAGAATGCCTCATTTGCATATTTAAACAACTGCAGACTTGTAATACATTAAATAATTGTAATATAAATAATCAACGATCAAACCCTTCCATATTTGACGAACACATGGTGAGGAAAAGTGTTTAGCAAAAAGAAAAGTGAAGATGTTTTTTTGTTTGTTTGGTTGAAACCACAGCTCTCTATCAGATGCACACACACGACAGGAAGTGCACAGGAAAAGAGTTGCTCATCAGATAACCACAGGATCTCTGAGCTGCTTCACTTCATTCTTATCGTCAGGTGCAGTAACAAGATAAAGATAGTCAGGGTGTCAAAGTAAAAGTTAATGTGTGAACGTGAGCAGAAGTGATGATGTACCTCCATCTGCTGGAGAAACAGACACACAATCGGGCAATATACAAGTTTAATGTACAAGTAGTACATTAATATAGTTACTAAATTATACATAGTCAGTAAAATATGATCACGCTAAAAAAATATACTGTACAGTTTCAAAGTAACATGTATTCATAAGTTAATTTTAATACTCGCCAGGCTTTTTTTACTGTATTTACAATAATGTGTTAGTATTAAAGGTAAGATCTGATATCCATAAAGAGGAAAATGACATTTAAATGATGTGATAACTGAGGGAAATTAGAAAAGTGTAGAAGTAGACGGCTGCTGGTTAACCCACCCTGGAACCATCAGGGGCATATGAGAAAAATGATTCAAAACATGTGTAGAGGCTCAAATTTAAAGCCCTGATTAATTAAACGTTCATTGTTTATTCAGTGTAATGAATGAATGTATAATAAACTAATTGAAATATTGTAATATAAAATAAAACGTTACTGTTTGTGGCTCCAAATATCCTACAGCAATGGACAGATTAGGAGACAGTGGACCCCTGGACTCATAAAAGACCCTCAACCCTCCTCCCCGAGAGTAAAACCCCCGAACTGAAAGAATCACAACAGATGACGGGGCCACTCTTCCTTTGTAGCAGTTTGGTGTTTGTTCTTTAGTCGTTTTTTGTCTCCTTGTGTTTGTTTTGGGTCACTCTGTGGTCCTTTTGTGGATGTGTTCTGTCTTTGAGGTCATTTTGAGTCTCTCTATGGATGTTTTGAGTCTTGTTTTAGTCATTGTAAGCCTCTTTGTGGTCGTTTTGAGTTTCATTTTATTCATTCTGCGTCTCTTTGTGGTCATATTGTATCTTTTTGTGGGGGTTTTTTTGCGGTTGTTTTGCACTTCTTTCCTACAGCAAAGGTTGACAGCCACTTGATACAGAAGTTTGATTTAAGTTGGCCTGTTCAGTAATTCATCCATGACACTAACAAGCCAACTTCCTATCACCGTGTGACTCTGGTGGGGGGGCATCAGAAGTAGCCAATCGGATTCGAGCTGCAGCAGATGTTTGTCAGTAGGGCTGTCGGTCTCTGAAGGCAGTGCAGTGGTGCCTGCAGTTTGCAGAAGTAATATGAAGACTTTACAGCGCCACATAAAGTTCCCTTTTCTATTTTTACACTTCAACAGGTTCCCAATTTGTTCATTTCTGTGAAAATGCTGTTGCGATTCAGTTTGGGTTTAATTTTTCCTGAACAGTCTCTTGTCATAAAATCACAGGATGATCGATCCATAAAAGCACGGCGTCCAGGATCCAAACACTACGAGGAAGTGTTGCTGATGACTTTCCTCTTTCGTAGAGACACCAGGTCGTAAAACGGGTCTTTGGTGATACTCGCCCTGAAAGAGAAGATTAACATTTAAAATGAGATCAGCAGAAGTAGTACCAGTAGTTCTTCATGTTTGACCTAGTGAGTAATTTGATTATTGATCAATCTGTTGATTATTTTTTAAGTTAATGGCTGAGTCTATAAATTGTCAGATGATAGTCAAAAATGTCACAGTTTCCCAGAATCCAAGATAAGATTTAAGATGACAAATATGAAGAGGTTCGGAGGTCAGATGGTTTCATCACGATAGTCTTTATTGCTTTTTTTTTGTGATCGTGTGTTTTAATATCTTTAACCTTAAAGCCCAACACGACTCACAGAAAACACGCGTGTTCTCCACAGCATCGCGGCTCTCACCTGATCGCTTCGATCCAGGCGTCCCGCTCTTCTGCGCTGGCTGCACTGAGCTTATAGGACTGGTGTTTACCCTGCACCACTCTGCCTTTGTTCTCCGTCTTGCAGGCCTTGATCTTTTGTCCTTTGGTGTTATATAACTCCAGACAATACTGTTCAAACACAGGAGCAGACACACATGTGGCACTGTTACTGTGTGCATATGGTTTCTGTTTATATTATTGGTCTCCTGACTCATTGTTTGAGCACTTGGGTTGGAAATTCATTTAGCAGCTGCCGTGTGATTCATTTAGCGTGTGGCAGCAGATAATGTGTGTGGGAGCTCAACACTCCTTCATACGCTGTGATACCAAAAGTAAAAGATACTCTACCAGTTTGCTTGTGTCTTGCAGCTTCCTGACACACAGGTTCTCCAGAGGAATAATCCCAATCGGGTCTTTATCCTGCAGGAGGAGGAGGAGGATATTAAAGACAGGACGTTTAACATTCACATAATGACGTAAAGCAGAAAGACAGATTCTTACTGTGGTGTATTCAAAGTAGTACAAGCAGCTGTCTGTCAAAATGAACCACCTCCTCTTCCAGGTTTTAACTCGACCACCTTCAACAGAGACAAACACTGTGTTGTAATCTCCTCTCAAAGCCTCCAAACAACTCAGATTAGTTTCCATATGGAACGAACATCATCAGCATCTCACCCATTTTAAGGAGCCAGCCTTCTCTGTCTGGATTAAAGAATGTCAGCGTGAGGTCGTTCCCATCGTCCACTGGGATTTTGAACGGCTCGCTGCGGATGCTCGCGTACAGTTTCTAGAAGACAATGTCAGTATCAACATCAAGTGTAGAATAATTGAGTTTTTTTAAGTCTGATTTTCTTTAAGATGTATTAAGACAGGAGTGGAAGAAGGATTCAAGTCAGTTTACCCAGAAAAAGAGAGCAGAAGGGAAATTCCCAAATATTTCAGTTGAGCAATCAGGTCTTTCTCTTTTTTAGATAATATCTTAAACTCATTGTGCAACCAGACCTCCTTAAAAGTTATATTTTTTGCTGAAAACAGTGACATATTTCAGGAAGGAGTTAATGTTTAGTGTTGGGTGTTAGAGTTAGACGTATAATATTCTTCTATGAAACTACGAAGCCTCAAGTGAAGCAAATCTAAATAACTGAGAAAAAAACCCGAGGCTATATGATTTATGAATGTCATGATTCAGATGATCTCTTCACTAAATTCTCCCTTTAAATAATGATGACAATTCATTGTTGTCACAAAACTACATTTGTTTTATAAATTTTAAATAATCGATTTTTTAAATATTTCACCACTTTGGTCCAGACTGAAATATCTCAACAACTATCTGATGGATTTCCATGATATTTTGTTCAAACATTCGTGGTCCCCAGAGGATGAATCCTACTGACTTTGGTGATCCCTTTACTTTTCCTCTAGCGCCACCTTGAGGTTCACAATTGTGGTTTTGAGTTTAATGTTACAACAACTGTTGGATTGCCATGAAATTTGGTTCACACATTCATGTTCAACTCAGGATAAACTGTAACAACTTTGGTGATCTAACTTTTCCTCTAGCTCCATCAAAATCTTAGTTAATAAAATACTTTGGTTTATGCCCAAATACCTGCAAATCTAATGACCTTCCCAGCAGCCTCAGCTTTACTTTGTGTTTTGAGATAATTAGCAAATGTGAGCAGTATTTTAGTGATTGATGTAGTTAAGTGATAAACATGAGTTAATTAGGATATTATTATAGGACATGATGAAGACACTGGTATTGGTAGCAGACCGTGAGCAGCTCGGTGGGCAGATCCTTCCCATTGTTGATTCCTCTGTTCATGGAAACAAATCGCTGCAGACTGGGTTTGTCTTTGACGTTGGGGTTGTGGAGACTCGTGTTGAGCATGATGATGGCAAAAGACAGGATGTAGCATGTGTCTGTTGCGCACACAAACACACATACAGAATGTAGGAAACACTGTTAGTATTCTTCAGCTGTGCCTTGTTATCACTGAATATTTGAATATGGCAGCATATGAATTAAATAAAACAACCATGGTAACGCCAGCTGCCGTCTGAATTTGCACTTTGCAAAATTGTTCTTGTTGTAAGGGACGGCGTCTGAGCGAAGCAAAGGTCCTGAAAGATACATTTACGTTTTTTCTTTCATGTGCTTTCTGTGTCATCTTATGAGCATAATGCTGACGTCGGTATGCATTGTACTTTATCGTCATTTATTTGGGTATCAGACACATTCTACAGATTGCGGTTTCTGATCCGGTTCCCTCTGACGTGTACCGTCTAAACCATAGACTGTATTTAAGAAGTGGACATAGTAGTCGTGACGTCGCCTATTGGTTTGTGGAATGCCATTTTGAAGTCTTGAGTTCAGCGTTTTGGCTGTCGCCATCTTGTTTTTTTGCAACCAGTGAACGTAAGTGACCATTGGACTGAGGAGGAGTGACGTAGAGATGCTGTATACAGTGCTGGTAGAGACCTGTCAATCACAGTAGCCCCGCCCAAAAGCATCCCCTGCTTTATGGTCTGTTTGACTGTAAATGGACCATAGTTTACAAAATGAACATCATGCTGTATTGAAGAAGACTTGAAACCATAAACTCATGTTTACAATGTTTACTGAGGTAATAAATCAATTTGTTTTTTGTGATTTTAATCTTTGAGAATTTTCGTTTTTTGCCTCTCCCACAGCTCCATAATGCATTTTCTTTTTACCTACAATGGCCCTAAAACACGTTGTACTACCTCAGCTGTATAAATTGCATCTATTAAAAAGAATCGTCCGTGAATGTGTCCAGAGCAGGAACACCTATACTGAACAAACTACTCTAATCAGTGAGCGAGAGATGAGATGTTATTGTGACTTCACTCATTTTAAGAGGAGAGAAGAAAACTATTCATCTGAACAGCAGATCACTTGTCTATCTATGAAATTAATAAAACTGTAACAAAACTTTTTAATTGGCTTGTCGGAGACAGTGAATCAGGCGAGACCCCACGTCTTTGTTGTTTGTACCTGTGGATTGGAAGACCCCCGGGTTACAGTCGCAGTAGCGAGTTGCAAACGCCTCCATCATCCTGTCAATCTTCTGCGCTTCTCCCGGGAGACGAAAGCTCCACAGAAACTGCCTGCAAGACAGCAGAGGTGTCACACGCACACGCACACACACACACACACACAATGTAAAACATATGCTGGGTAGAAGGAGGAGGATTTCTACATCATCAGAGAAACAAGACTAAAGATAAAAAAAATACTGCTGCAACGTCTCACGCTGACTTTTAAAGCAACACAAACCTCAGCGCTTGCACCAGATTCAGGTCTGAGAATTCATGCAGGCCCACAAACGCTTTCAGTGTCTGCAGATGCATTTCCTCCCTGAGAGAAAGAAAATAATAAAAACAATCAACCAAAAGCCTAGAAGTCCGAGGTCACTTTCTACAGTAAGTGACCAGGTGTGCACAGGTGTGAAAAGTGGGCAAAATTTCAAGTCGTCACATTTCCGTGTCTTGCACCTCTGTTCTACGATGAAGACGGTTAGTAATCTACTTACAATTTTGAGATGCCCTCAGACTTTCCCTCCTTTCCTCATCACCTGACTACACACCTGTTCCCACTTCTCTCATCATCAGCCACTCTACATTTACCGGCACAGCTGCCATGTGCCTTTTCTTTCCAGCATCTGTATTCTGTCTGTCTGATTGTTTCATCTAAATGACTGTGTGAGACACAAAGGGGATCAAATCATCTGGTATAAAAAAAACACGGACTGTTGTAATAGACCTTTTTTTCCCTTTTCTCCCCCTGAACATGATCTCATAGTGAAATGACTCATGAAATGACTTTTTAATGTTAGGTTTGTAGAACAAAACAGACGTCAGGTTAGGCAACAAAAAGAACGTAAGGTTCAGGCAAGAAAACCATTTAGTAAGGTTAGGAGAATGTAACGTCACAAAACCTGAACAAAATTTGGGCCATGAACACTGGTCTCATGGTTGAAAATCCTGTTTGTTTTGACCCCCCGCAGCCTCCCGTGAGTGTTAATTCTACCTCACTAGCTCTGATCATTGCATATTCACGTGGATGTCTTTAATTTGTGTTTCCACAACCTAAAAGGATCCTTATTGACTTTCCATTGGCATTTCTTTTCAGGTTGTTTCTCTCCCATTAATCATCTCGAGACCCTTTGAAGGGGTGCGACCACTATGTTGGGAACCACTGGACTAACTGTATGTAAAGTAGTTAAAACTAGCTTCCCCTTGAGCTGCAACAGTAAAATACTGCTCTGATGCATCAGTATTAACAATCTCATAATGTCACATATAATGATGTATCAGTCACAGGAGACATGTTACTGAAGAACGAGTACTTTTACTTCAGATACATTTGGCTTGTGGTACTTTTGTACACATACGTAATAGGATTTTGAATGCAGGACTTTCATTTGTAATTGAGTATTTCTACATCATTGCACTGGTACTTTGGCTCAAAGTAAAGGATCTGAGTTGTTCTTCCACCACTGTTTTGTGTGTTTAGTGATCTAAAGGAATGCTTCTGATTGGTCCCGTCTCTCTATGATGACATCATCCCATCTCTTTAACCATGGTAGAAGTGTTGGCATCAGAGAATATTTCCATGGTATCACTTGTGTGCGTATACTGTACCTTTCTCCCAAGAAGTTGCCGATGGCGGTCTTGTTTAGTCCGTCCTCTTTATAAAGAAACTCGGCCACCGACTCTGCTCGCCATTCCAGCAGGTAATTTTCAACCAGGTAATGGACACCCTGAATAAAAGCAAAGGGTGGGAAGGTTTGTGTGAAAAGCATTTTACATGCTTCCTGTCTACAAACCTCATACAAAGGTTTGTATATTTGTTTATTTGTTTATTAACTGGATCCATTGGCTGATGCCTTAGCGGCTGCTAATCTTCCTGAGGTCCACAGAACCCATATACGTGGGTGACTAAGACTATCTTTCTTGTGTTTTCCTGCAAAAGTCAAGAAACGCGTGTCAATTTCCGCTCGTTACATGCATATGTCTTTTCAAAATACACTTCCGTCTTCACAGGAATCAACATAGTTAGGTTTAGGCAACAAAACTACTTTGTTAGGTTTAATTTTATAAAATGTTGAAAAATAAATCAACGTTGATTCCTTGTTTCACAGCTGTTTCCTGGTTGACAGACTGGTTTACGTTTGAGCCCACATCTTCTCCCATCCGCCCAGTGTGATGTTTGGCAAATTTATACTTCCTGTTTCATGATTAAATAGGAATATATTTCGGGGGACAATCTAAGAATTACAGCACATTACATTTTTTAGGTAAAGTTACAAACGCTGTATGAGAACAGCCTGATCATGTTCGTGTTTTTCGATTAAGGAAATAAGTACCACTGCATTGCAAGCTTTCATGTTAAACGTTAGCCAAAGCTTGAGTTTTGATTCTTATCGGCGCTGATAACTTTGTAGGTTGATAAGCAAAGAAGGTTTTCTTCTCCATTTGAGTCAATCTTAAATCACCAGAGAAAAAAGATGACCAGAGGTTGAATAACTATTGCCTGCTGTTATCTCTTAATCTCAAAGGCTGTTCAAAGCCATATCTTCAAAATATGACCGTCTCAACTGAGTGTGCACTCCTGCTGAGCAGTTCTTCAAATCAATTACACTTAAAAGACCCTTATAACCCCAAGAAGTCTAAAACCTCTCATCCTCCCACTCGTACAGGTCCTCAGGCCTGAGCTCAGAGCAGTCACAGACCGAGGGACTCAGCTTTTAACCGAGGACCCAGAGAGGAAGCAACGAGAAAGACGTAGGTCGATGTGGTGAAGTGGCGCTTCTGCGCCACTTCAGGGAACAGGATGTGGTTTTTCTCGCTATTCAGTCATCGTCTGCATCTGTGCACAGTTTGCCTTCCTGCACATCACACGCACATCACACACACACACGCACGCACACACACACACACACACACACACACACACCCACACACACACACACACACACACACACGTCACTTAAATCCACATCCGCTCTGTGTGGAGTTATATTCGCTGTCATCTGTCTGTTGACCTTCAGTATCAGAGGAGCTGAAGAAGTGAAAGTAGGATTTCACCTACTGTGACTTTACTGTACCTTTACTGTACCTTTACTGTACCTTTACTGATTCAACTTAAAGTGGTGAATAAAGTTATGATGATGATGTTACACTCTTAGAGATATCTCTCGGAAACTACTGTGTACTCTGTGTACAGGTTTCTGTTAAATATCTACCTTCAGAGCAAGAAATAAACTGGATCTATAACCAATAGTTCCTCTTTTTATACCAAAATACAATATAAACTCACCTTTTTGGGGTCCATGTTGAATTTCTTTTTCCCACATAAGAATCTTCTGTTCTTCACATCATTTTTACTGCAACAAAAGACCAAAATATACTGTAACAGCAAATTAAATGACAAATAAATGTTCAAATAATGCTAAAAATAAGCTTGTTTCATTGTTTTTATCAAAAAGACGTAGACAAAGACAAATTGGACTATTTAATTGTATGTAAATCATATTTTCTGTTTATTTAGCTTTGTCTGGTGTATAATTGGCATTCTTCACATATGTTTTGACTTTTTAAATTATATTTCTAAATGTGCACACTTTTTTCTGAATCAAGATAATTCTGCATTAATGTGATGCACAAGTCAGAGCAGGGAAATTTGCACAATTAACTTACTACAGGTTGGGTATATTTATATGCATGACATGTAATAATAAAGAAAAGTGAAACAAAAAACCTTCACCAAGTTACTGAGGCTCAAAACGACGTCATCAGAGTAATTATCTTCCCTGGCCAACAGTTCAAAACACGATTTATTCAATCGGCAATGCTATGAAATAACGAAAAACAACAAATTCCCATATTTCAGAGGTTTGAACCAGGTAGGCTCTAATTGGTATTTTAATAAAGATCAAAGATCAAACCATAAAGATGCTCATCAATTCATTTTCTGTCCTTCAATAAATTACAAAACAAATAAACCATTCAGAGCATTTTCTCCATGTTTTGTGAGCATGTATTTTATTAAGTATTATTTGTTAAGTTGAGGCTTTTAGGGTGGGGGCAGCAGTTCTCTGAAACTGTGTTTAGTATGCCAGTAACACAGTTATAGCGAAATGCAGTGTGATACCGCCGACATATCATGATCATTAGCACCTTCTGAAAGCAGCGACAATAGCAACAGGAAGTCGAAATATGTAGTTAGACAGCCCCATGCACACATTCTCAAAATGTCAAGACTTCCTCTCCAATTTATGTCGTGGTGCAAGTAACTGTTTTGTTACACTCAGAGCTGCCACCACACTTTGTCCTTCACAAATCTATCAGCAATGAACACCCAGGGGTTAATTGTACCCAAGGGGTTACTTCTGCAGTCGCTTGGGGATGCAAAAGTAATGGATAAATGGTTGGATTGGCAGCTTGGTCTTAAATTAATCTGGACGGTGGGTACTTAAAAGATTGTGAGCCACAGCTGAATGTGAAGCATTTTCATGAAAAAAAAGGTTTAAAAACATCAGGGTGAAAGGTTTGAGTAGCAGGTTTAAAGATTGAACTGCAGATAGGCGGCATACACTAGAAACGATTTGACTTCTGACTCAAATAAAAACCTCGATAAAGCTGTTTTTATGACTTTGTCAAACTGAGCATTACGTGCGGAGGTCTGCTGCGGTCACTGACTCATAGAGGAGCTGCTTTAACAAATTAATCATACTCACTTCTGCTCCTTTATTTCCGGACTGTGGATTTCTGGCATGATGTGATCGATCTCCAACTTCAGCTTCTGAGAGAGGGAGTTGAGAAAGATGTTAGCTTGGTACCAAGGTTTGTCGTTACGTCACAGACACCTGTAGACCCAATGTTACACTACTCAGAGCCAATTGGTCCGCCAACAGATAATAACCTTCATACCTCAATTAACAGATGGTGAATGAAACACCTTTGTGTGCCGTGAAAAGCTCTGTTGAGGCAACCAGGAGTGGGTGTGAAGAATAATGAGGGTTTTTAATGTGAGACCTTGGAGGGATATATATATATATATATATATATATTCACTAAAGTACCTGAATGTCATCCAGCAGCTCAAACTTGTGAATCTTGATGGTGTCCCCCTGTCTCTTCTCTCCTGGGGGGAGTTTCGGTGGAACTGTGGGGTGACAACAGGCTTCAGCACTTAGACAAGAACACTTCTTGGTGATGGCATATAATTGGTGAAACAGTCAGTAGACTTGTAGCACTGTGGATTGTATTGACATCCTCCCTCACACCTACGCCCGCTGTCACAGACCAGCAGGCATCACAACTTCATCCTCCACCAGTTAGAGAAGTGGTCAATGAATGAGAGAAGGAAGAGGGGCTGAAAATAGCTGCTTCTCTTCCCTTTTTTTCATTGAGTCAGGTTGATTTTGAGTGTTGCTATTAATGTGCAATTCATCTTAATTCATGGATGACTTTGTACAGGAGGAGGATTTGAAGCATTATAATAGCATGTTAAGTTTCAATTATTGTGCATCACAGGTCTAAAATGATACAAAAGTTGAACAACAAAACCATCAAATATGTGTAGTTTTTGAAAAAAAACATTTCCACATAAAAGCAAAACCCACAAAATGTAAATCAGCAGCCTTTTTAGTCATTCCTAATGACTACACCACACAAATAATTTGACTAATACTTTAAATAATCTCACAACAACCCTGCTATTTGTTTTTGAGAAGCAGCTTTCCATATTAATATAAATTATTGATTAAAAGAGAATAAAAGAATAACAATAGCGTACCTTTCCCCCAGAGGAAGCTGTCTTTTCTGCGTATAGCCATGTTGTTGATGGTGGAGAGCGACTGAAAGCTGTACAGGAAACAAACTGAATGTCAGAGTGAAAAAAAGGGCCGGCGCTGCCATTCTGTGACACCGAAGAGACTCCGAGTTCACTCAACAGTCTCTTACTACATATCTGGTGACGTGCACCACAAAATGTTGACATTGAGTCTTTTTGTGTGTTTCATTGAGAAACACAGATGTCATTCTTTCTCTACAACTACGCAACACCGATACAACCATTATTACACATCTATTACATCTATTATTACAAATAGCTCTACAAAACAAATAGCTAATACTGTACTACTATCAGTACACACATCTTTAAGTGCCTTACAAAAGAAAAGGACAAAATATAAGAAATATACACGAATGGGAGGCACATAGGAGCCAAATGTTTATTTTTTAACTGAAATTGGGTTTGCAATATATTCTCCATAAACGCTGTTTTAAGACAGTGTCTGGTAATATGGTGACTTGATGACACAGTACATCTGCACTGATAAAATGTACCTTGTTCTGTAAGGTATAGAGGCCAAATAACCATGTCATTTGTTTTTTAAGACGTGGTGTCATCAAACATGCCTACTTCAGCAGGAAGGAAACAACTTGAGCAAAGCCTCTTTCATTTCTAAATATCAGGCCCCATCTAGTGGGGCTTCACACCTCTTAACAACTCATAGACAGTTGGTATAAGGTACAAATCATGCTGTATTATTACATTTTTATACCGTATTTGTGTGAAAAACAAGCACTGAAGGCCTTTAGGTTCTTTCTCTAAGATGCCATTCAGCATGTAGCTTTATACCTTTAAGAAAAAGGCTGGTCGAGCTGTGTTTTGTTGCTTTGTGTTGCTGCTTGCATGGCAACATGCACCAAGAAGTGTATATTGTTGGTGTTTTATTGTGATCATGTTTTGCTATTATCCTGTTGCTCTGCATGGCTTGAGAATGCTCATTGTGTTGTTGTTGCTGTCTTCATGGCATCTTGTTCTCCTCTGATTGAAAATATGAATCTTAAACCATTACCTGATTGGTTTCAACACATCTCGCCGAAGGTTTTAAACATTAGCCAGCTCGCTAACTCTGGCACATTCACAGAAATATTGATTCATGTGCGTTGTCCATAAATTAAATTAAATGTTCAGTTATTGTCAACAAATCCCATGAGCAGACCAAAACAATGTGTATGTCGGTTGTCGTACATTCTGACTTCCCAGCCTGTCTCAGGCTAATGCAACTATCTACGAAACAGCTAATTTATTGTATTTTACTATTTTAGTCTTGTGTACTATATTTATGTTTATTTGATCAATAACTGTGATACAACCTTTGTTAACTTAATGTTAACATTAGTAATATAAAGTGTGTTTACTCACTGCATAGCTGTGCACGAGTGGGGCAGAAAGATAAATACAAACTGTAACTAGATACTGAAAAAAGAGACAAAAACAAGAGAAAAACAACCTCACTTCATTTTCATTTTTCATCAACTTTGAGGGTACAAAAGACAAAAACTTCTACATATATTTTAGACTATGCAAGTCATCAAACATGTGTCTATGTGTGTTTGTGTGGGTTAGTTCTGTGCAATAAGTCAGCTACTATTTTAAACTTCATGAGTCAAGATCAGTGTGTATCTTCAGCCGGATGTGAGTGTGTTGTGTGACGGATCATCGACCGTATCATGCTGACTTCAACAGTTGAAACAATGGTCACTCACTGAACAGTGAATAAATGCTTGACAGAAGAGTGAACTGTGTTCATTTCACAACATCATATATCAAAAAATAAAGCAATTCTTTTATGAATGTGCCATGAAAATATATGAAACTTTTTAGATGTATTACGCCCTAAAATGAATAATCAACAACTCACTGAAGCATCATTTTTTCTTACTCAGAAATGAGACACAGTGCTATACAAACACAAGTATACTGAATTATATACATTTTCATGCAGGTCTTTTATTCAGCAGTTGAGGATAATACTGTGATGAGAAAAAAAAGTAAAATCATACATTGTGTCATCGCAAACTCGCTTGTGTGTTGCTGACTGTGAAAAATGTCACAAAATGTTACTGAAAAGCTATTTCAGTACTGACATGAACATGCCCTTTGGAACAAATACGCTTGACAATGAGTTCGCAGCTGGATTGTTCTGAGTTGACCCTTTTTAATTAGGCTCAAATCCCCTTCTGTCAATCATCTTTGTTATAGGACCAGGTAATCTACCAGCTGTCTCCTGTTCAGTCTGCGACGCTTCCATCGTCCCGTAATTGGGCTTCAATTGTTGTAATATTTTGTTCATAATGAGGAATGGATTGTTGCCAGAATGTCATATTTAGGAGGAGAGTTTGTGATGAGACAGGCTGATTAGAACATCGACCATGAATGGGTTAATGAACAGGTATTATGGGATGAAGCCCAGGGGTCCAGGGGTCCAGGGCATCAGGGGGCTGGGAAAGAGACAAAGAGACAACAATGCAGCAAAGAGATGGTCACAAAGAGACACATATCCACAGCAGCTGTAGGAGAAGTGTGTGGCACGTCAGATTGTCTGTATCGGAAGGGCTGTTTTCTCATTATCTGTCCATGACATCAACATCCACATAAAGCAAATGTAGCAGTTCTAAATGTGATGGAAGTGTTCGGAGCATTTGAAAGGGAAGTCAAATTGGTTGCTCTATAAGCCTCATATCAGTCAAAGCGAACGTAATTGCTTCCAAAGTGGGCTTCAGTTGAGCAGCTGGTGTGTTGACAGTCAAACGCATCAGCGGCAAGTCACAAGAAATAAGCATTAACTCTGGACCCGCTGCATAAATCGCAGGTGCACAAAGTGAGATGGAGGAGAGGGAAAATTGTCCTTGATATTGGTGATTATTGAGCTGCCATCCGTCCCAATTTGTGGTGTTTAGTGTCTTTCCGCTTCCACAAACAAGTCTACTAAGTGTTTTGATTTGTCAGCAACCCCGTTTTCTGCCACGCATGCCGACACCTGATGAATTTCTGAAACTTTATCACACTCCTCTTTAGCCTGTCATTCAAGGCCCCGGTGTTTCACTCAGTTGCAGTAACCTGATAATGCGAGTGCTACCGTGTCAGATAAGAGACCTTCGGGTCTATTTACAGCATTTACAGTCAGTCATGGCGAGCTGTCATGCTCCACAGATCAATAAAAATGATCTGATCAACAAGATAAAGAGCGCTCCTGATTCTGTCTTCATTGAAACAAAGATGTCTTGCAAAAAGTTAGTGCCTAAACTCAAGAAGTGAAAGAGATGAAGGAATGAACGGACAAACAATTTCTGTGCCTACTATTTATATTATTTCTTATCTACAGAACAGTTCTTCCTTCTCCTTCTAAATGTTGTCAGTATGGTAACAGTGGTCATTCAGCGCTCAAGGCTGGATGATAAAGGGTCAAACTAAACAATCAATGTACCTTGAATGAAAGTGCGGTCATAAACCCATTCATCTCCACATTCATTGTCCGCCTGCCTTTCATTCGTCAGCCCTAAACCCTGAAGTTAATGTTGTTCAGCAGACAGAGAGATTATTTCAGTGAAGGTTTCGCTGCATTTAGAAATAAACTCCATGTTTCTGCTCTGGTTCTCAAGGTCTCCTCACAATCACTGTTCAGCTTCTGCTCAGTCAGAGGCTAATACTGATTTCCAGAGGGGACTGTTGAATACCGCAAAACAGCCCGTCAATTACGTACGAATCACTGAGTGTTGTTCGTGCAGCGTTAGCAAACAATGTCAAGATCATCGGGAATGATTCAAAACCAAAGCATGATTCTTTTTACGCTTGTTGAAAGCTTCTGAGGAGTCATTGTGCGTGGCAGAGCACCACTGCTGCTGTTGCTGTTGCTGAGTCATGAATGTCAATTTAAGCTCAGTTATACCACAATACATCTTCTATGTGGTTAGCTCCACCAATGAGGTTATGTTTTCTGTTTGTTTGTTTGTTTGTTTGTTTGTCAGGATGAGGGAAAACCTTCTGACCTGGAAACTTGGTGGTAAGGTGGAGCATCCACCGAAGGAGAACCCATTAGATGTTGAAGCGGATTGGCATTGGCGGACGTCTGCGCTCTCCGAGTGCCCTTGTAGTTTTTAAATGCATTAAATTGAGTTTAATTTTTAAGTTAAATGCAACCGATAGACTGCATATGAGAAATGGGTATTAGCATACCCTGCTTTACGGTCTGTTTGACTCTAAATAGACCATAATGTACTAAATGAACATCATGCTGTATTGAAGAAGACTTGAAACTAGAGATTGAGACCATAAACTCATGTTTACAATGTTTACTGAGGTAATAAATCAAGAGAGAAGTAGAGTCATTTTCTCATAGACTTCTATACAACCAGAGGAGTCGCCCCCTGATGGACATTAGAGAGAATGCAGGTTTGAGGCCCTTGGGCATTGACTGGAGGTTACCGCCTGGTGTAACACTTTCATCCAATAAAATGTCCTTCTTTGATTTTAGAACAGTGACAACATTTTACGATGCATGTCCGTCACCTTTTGACAGTTTGACAAACAATAAATCAGAAAAGCACAGAAGATATTTTACCTAAACTTAAAGGGTTACTCCACAGATTTTACACATGAAAGTCAGTTTACTAGTCTGAGTCTGTTCTAAGCCTGTTAAAAGAGTTGTTTAAAGTCTTCTGAGGCTCTGGAGGAGCTTCTAAAGTAACATAAAATAACCCATTAAAAAAATGCTTAAAGATACAACCCCATTTTTTTGAAAACATACATAGTGAGATGGAAGTGGATGCAATTTCGGACTCTCTCTCAACACACTGTGGTGTCACAGGATGTCAAGTTGTCTAAAACTAATATTAAATTATATTTTTTACCATGAATAATTATTAACCTTGTGTGATGCCTTTAAGTTAAATTATCATCAATGACTTGAAGATGGTTATGTCTCCAAATCATGAGGAACAGTTTGATCCTCCCTTCACACTACATATATATATATATATATATATATATATACATATATATAATATATATATGTGTATTTTT